TCAAATGCGTGGAAGCACGGATTTGACGCTAACACTTTCCCTATCCTCGGGATTGAGCGACTCTACAGCTATTCTAACGGTGCACCTGGTCTGGTCACTGTGAATGCTTGCCGACCGCAGCTGGTTCAATTGACCTCAAGACACCACCAAAGCTTTCGCTCCGTTCCGACGGACGTCTCTCAAACCTCTCTCAAAACGCTTCCTCAAACCTACGCGCTTCCTCGCTACCCAAAAACGGCCTCCAGACGTGCTGGAGCCTGACAGAATGCGTTCTTAGCCTTCTTCTTCAAAAATCAGCCGTTCGTTTCACAACTTTGTTGTAGAAAAGCCAGACAAAATAAGGCCGGTGCTCTGGTCCAAAACACAAAGATCGCTACAGCTCTAACATGTTGTGATGGTGGCGCAAGGAGTTGCCTGCAGTGGAGTCAGCTGAAGCCAAAAGTGAAAGCTGGGGCCGTGGTTGTCATGACTGAGGATTGCCACCATTTGGAGTGCTCAGCACTCTGCTCCACCTTTGCTAGAAGGCCTTGTGCATCCTTGTGCCCAACGGTCTTGATGTGTTGGCACACCAAATCATAAAATTCGGTTCCTAATAACATGACCAGTATTTGAAATGAGTTTCAGTGCACCAGACTCGGCTCGCTGTGAGTGTTGGCGGAGATTTTTCTCATACCTGGGCCAGAAAAACCCGAAGCTTGATCAGGCTTGAATTTGAGAAAGCGTAAGACACGTTCCAGGTTGTGAATGGTGACAAAATTCTGGGTCAATGCCAGAGTATCTTCCAGGTTGAGGACAGTGTGCCACCAGCCGCTGGGCACGTAAACGAGGTCACCGGGCTCTTGTGTAATTTCATAATATGGGATACCTGCCTCTTGTAGTGTCTGTAGAAATGCAGAAAGACGGCAAAAGTGAGTCAAATAGTCAAGAGGGGGTTTGACGAGGAGAGGGTGTCTTGTCTTGGCTCGCAAGAGGCACACCCACCGGATAGTAGTTTTTGTACCACTCCAAGATGCTAAGTGGCGTGGCAACGGCAGCGCCATCGGGGCTGCGCGAGGGGCAGAGGTAAGCAGAAGGAATGCGTAAGGGGTCAAGTGGGCTCTAGTTTTAAAGCCTCAAGTATTTTTTCCACTTTAGGGAAGAATGCTTACATACCTGGGAAACACGCCGGGAGGGGTGACGTCAGGGGGGCAGAAGATCCAGCGTTTGCGTCCACGTAGGAGTGCGTTCCAAGCAGATGTGGCGTTGGGGTCAATGTGCCAGGAAGAGCCGCTACGGATGGGGCCTGCGATGATCCAGCGATAAGCTGGTCGGCGACCACCGAGCGCGTTAAAAAAGTCATTTTCTTGGGCCGCAAAGGACGGACACGCAAAGTCCAAGGCCAGGGCGGGTGCTTTGTCCACGAAACGCTTATCAAAGACGTAGCTGGGGCGCTCATCGTATTGCGCAGCGGCGTAGGCGAGGTAGTCATCGAATGACATGGCCATGTCGCCTGCATCAAGAAGGGCGGATCCAAAAGCGGCTCGCAGAGCAGTGTTGGTCCATTTATCCATTGCGGTCCAGCGGTGGCAATATCCGCGGGCCACGGCCGGGCACTGTTGAGCGTCTTGCTCTGCTAATAGGGTGTCCAAGTCTGCGCTTGGCGGGAGTACACGGACAGTGTTGCGGGCGAGCCAACTGGGTTGAAATTCCATGCTGACAGAGATCCAAGCATCAAAGAGGGCGTCGCTGTACACGCGAGCCTGGGTGGGGGTTGGGGTGAGATCGGGAAGGGCGTCAGTACTATCTTGGGTTGCAAAGTGGTGGCAGATAAGGTGATGGACGGTCTGACGCCAGGTGCCACGATAGCGCACGCTGGCTCGCCCCGCGAGTGAAGGCACGCGAGCTCGCCAAATTTCGTCATGGTAGACGAAGGCGCGCAGCCAGGCGCTGCAGGTGGCAAGTTTGCAGAGTACAGCAGTGGGGAGACGAGCCAAGACATCCAATAGGACGTCATCAGGAAGGATGGCAAAGGCGCCGAGGCCCTGCGTGCGGACCGTATTCAACGTGGCCAGGGCCAAGCCTTCTGGGGCCACGTTGAGCGGGTGGTGCAAGCTCAAGACGGCATCACCCGGTTCCAAAGCGGTCTGGTTTTCGTGGCTGCCATGCTTTGCAGAAGCACCAGCCTCGTCGTTGACGCGCGCAACCCTCAACGACTCGTCAGCTGGCTGCTGCGCGCCGCGTGCACGCTTTGGGGCCGGCGCCACTTGCTCTTGCGTCGCGGGCGCCATTCTAAGGAAAAGTGCGGACCGTTGTATTTCTATATCTAAAACATGTGTTTTACTTCAGATTGACCAGCTCAAACGAACCCATGTGCGTGTGTAGGAGAAGAGAGAGAGAGAGAGAAGAAGAGAGAGAAGAGAGAGAAGAGAGAGAAGAGAGAGAAGAGAGAAGAGAGAGAAGAGAGAGAAGAGAGAGAAGAGAGAAGAGAGAGAAGAGAGAAGAGAGAGAAGAGAGAGAGAAGAGACAGAGAAGAGAGAAGAGGAGAGAAGAGAGAGACAGAGTGAGAGAGTGGTCCAAACCAGGAACTTTTCAACTTTTTTTGACTTTCCGTGCTCATACATAACCTCTCTCTACTCTTTTGTTCTCTACTCTTTTGTTCTCAGTTCTTTTGTTCTCAGTTCTTTTGTGTTCTTTTGTGCTGTTCTCGCCTTTTGTTAACGGGGTTCTATTTTTTCTTGCAGTCGTTGTTGGCTCTGCACACACACACACACACGGCATCATGGCGTCCAAGACTGAGAAGCCGCAACTGGCCGGCGCTCGTATCAAGAGCCGCAAGCGTGGTATGTAAGGGGGCGGAGGGAATGCGTTTTGGGCATGTTCACGAGCAGAGGTGTTGATCTGGGACAGGGAGCTCTGTGTCGCCGGGGGTTGGGCGCTCGCCCTCCTTGACGTTCCTGGAGCTGCCTTTGAAGTTTTTTTTTTCTTTTTTTTTTTTTTGTCGTGGCGGTGCGGTGCGAACAGTGCCCAAGAAAGCAGAGGCGGGAGAGGGCTCAACAACCAGCGTGAAGGAGAGATGAGGGGCCATTCGATCGCTCGTTTGTGTCTCTGTCATCCATATTCTTTCGATCAAGGCCATTAAGATGTTTAGTGTACATACGAGTTGTTGTGCATATTGCGCGCTCAAGAGTTTTTTTTTTATGGGCTGAACAGAACGCTTACGCCGCGTTGTCGTCCGCTTATTCCTCTGACGTTGCACATTCACGCGTTTACAGATGAAAAGGTCAAGTTTGACCCCGTTGCCTTCTCCGAGTCGCTCATCACGCGACTCAACGATTGCGAGAATCTTGCCGAGGTCAGATATGCCACAGACCCAATGCGGCTGTGATATGCACCTGGCCATCTTGAGACAAGAGCTGCTGGATCGATGAAGCCAAAAAAAAAAAAAAAAATAATAGCAAGGCGTGGTATTGTCATGATCTATGCACTCTTACAGCACTCATGTTTTTGTGTGTAGGCGACCAAGTACCTTGAGGAAGCCGGCAACTCGCTCGACTACCGTCGTTACAGCGATCAGTTTTTTGACATTTTCATTGCTGGTGGTATTCTGGGTGCGTCTGGGTGCACATGGGCCGATTAGCCAATGCCATGCCCACACACGATGTCGACTCATCTTTGTCCATGAACACCATCTCGCCTTGCAACTCTGCACAGCTCCTGGCGGTACTCTCGAGCATCCCGAGCTCGCCACCTCCGAATTTTGCGTCTTCCGAGCCGGTGCAAGCGACGAGGAAGTGAAGCAGTATTCCACCGTGCGTGTTTTGGACTTGGCGTGTAGCAACTCTTTTTTATTTTTTTATTTTTTTGTCTGCTGTTGCAACCCGAGCCTCGAGCAGAGTTTTTAACACTGGCCCGGCTCAACTACTTTTGGCGAACTGCTCATTGTCCTTGTTGGTGTATTCTGTCAATTTGGCATTCCGATAGATGCTGGACAAGGTACTTCGACGATTCAAGTACCTGCAGGTTCTGCTTGAGGAGCATGCCGTCAAGGTCCTCAAGTTTCTCAAGGCTTTTACCGAGGAGCAGCGTGTGGCCCTTGCCAAGGTGAGGTTCTGCCGTTTCTCCTGTGAAGAGGGCTTCAGCACATCACAAGCTCATCCCAACTGATCCGCCTCCATGAATGCCTTCATTGGCCTCGTTTTAGTTCATGGCCCAGATTATGTCCTCGGGCATGTGTTCAGCCAAGCCTTTGAACAGCTTGTTCCAGGATCAGCTGGTCAAGGATGGCTTTTCAGAAGAGTTTATGTTTAGCTTGTTCCGCGGCTGGCTGGCCGTGAGCTCTATCAACTCACTGGCCACCAGCTTCCGCAAGGGCAGCATTGTCATTGACAAGCTCCTTTTGATTTACCCTCTGAACAAGCGCTCAGAAGACCACCTCATCGAGCGCATTCGCGAGGTCGGTGGTCTGGACGACATTGTCACTTGGCTCAACTCACAGCGTACCACGGCCATGAAGTCGGAGCTGCAAGCCACCCTGACTGACGCGTTTGCGGACGAAAAGAAGCCTTCGGAAGTGAGTGTCTCAATTGTCGCCATCCCCGTTATTGCCCACGTGTTCGGGTTAATACCACAGTCAACCGCCTTTTGTGCCTGTCGTCCAACTTCGAGAGGGCAACTCTTGCATGGAGATGCCTGCTTTTTGGTTCCCCCCCCCCTCCCACGATGGTCTTTGGTGCTCTCATTGTCATCTCACTGTGTATCGCGTAGATTGTGGCCATTGCTACCGATGCCATGAGCAAGTCAAGCATGAAGGACCACGATGTGGTGACTATCCTCTGGACTGCGCTCATGGACGCCGTCGAATGGAACAAGAAATCGGATCTGATTGTGGAACAGGCACTGCGTCAGGTCAACAAGTACTGCCGCCTCTTGGCCCACTTCACGCAAAACTCAGAGAAGGCTCAACTGCTGCTGATTAACAAGACCCAGAACTACTGCTATGACAACCAAACCATCATGAAGGTCTTTGTCAAGATTATCATGCTGCTCTACCATCACGGTGTGATTGAGGAGGAGGCGATCCGGGCCTGGTATGACGGCCGCAACAGCTCCAAGGGCCGCACCGTCTTTTTGGAGCAGACCGCGCCCCTTATCGAGTGGTTGGACACGGCGGACGTGGAGTAATGCTACTCGCCAAATTGTGCCCAAACCCTCATACCAAACGCCGTTCTGAAGCAATTTGCCTCAAATGAATCCCAACTCCTCGATTTTTTTTTTTTACTGTCGCGCTGCTCGTCTGTTTTGCCAGTGGTGGGCGAGAGAGCATCCCACCGTGCCCAAGTGCCGCGAGGGCTTGTGACATAGGGGCTTGCAATAGGCCCTTGTAGGAGTGCACTCACGTCAGGCGGCGCTTTCTCCCGATGTTTTGTGTGTCCCGACTTTTGTTCGCTCTCGTCTTGTCTTTCTTGTTCACGTTCTGGCCTCAGAATTGACCCTGAAACCCCCTAGTTGGCTCATCCAATCGCATCTCTTTTCTCAAGTTTTCCTTATGACGCATCAGGGGTTGAGGGCACGGCATCTGAACATGAACAAAGCTACTACGATTTTCAGAAGAGATAAGGAATCTCGTACATACAGAATACGTTTGTTTTAATTTTCGATGACACGACGGCAGCATCGTGCATATGCATGTGGGGGTTGTCTTTGCTATCTCAGTGGCTACTGCGGGTGGGCCCAAGCTCATGGCTTTGGGGGAGCGGGTAAGAGCTGTTGAGCGTGCACGCAGCCTCCTACTTCTTCTCCTTGGGTTTGACGTGTTTATCCTGTACCGTGCGAATATGGATCGCATCGGCCGGGTGACTGGTCAAGCAAGCGGGACAAACGCAACCAGGCGTGAGGGGGTGGATAACAAGTATAAGCGGGAGGCTGCCATGATGAATGCGGGTGCAGGAATTGTGGGATAACGACATACTCCTTGGGGCCTTGTTCCATGAGGTAGCTGGCAGCCACGGCGAGCTTGCTGCCGTCGTGGCTAAAGGCCAGACTGGCAATGCTCGTTTCGTAGCACTGGAACTGATAGAGGCGCTTGCGGTTGCCGCCGTCCCATGTGTTGACAAAGCCATCCGATCCACCCGTGGCAAAGGTACCATAGCTGCAGGCCAAGTCAGGAGAGGAGACCAGTGAGCACCATGCTGGCTCTCAATAACACGATGTACCAAAAAATGCACAACACATACCCGGGGTGGAAGGCAAGAGCGTTGACGGGGTGGATGACCTCTTGCCCTTGCTCATCCTTGTGGCGATGGCACTTGAAGGCGAATTTTTGTGCTTGCTTGCTCTCTTCGATGTACTCGACTGCCACGCGACCTTCAATGGAGCTCATGACATAACCTGCCAATTGGATACGGAACAAGGGACGTCAGATACAAACGAGCCATGGGTTCAGGGCATGAACTACCCGGGACGCATGCTCACCATCGCCGTTGGGCATGGGGGCAATGGCACGGGTTTGATACTTGAGGTTTGACTCGCGGCGAGCAAAGGGCTGTTGAGTATTGCGGACGTCCCAGATCCAAACGTTGCGGCTGGCCGTGCCAACCACCAGCATGTTGCCCGCCAGTGTCATGGCGTAAATCTGTTACACACGGCGTCGGTGAATAAAGCGCAAGGCTGATACGTGTAGGCGGGCACCTATTTTACGCTTGACTTTTGATTCACGATTTTTCCTGTGTAGTGCGTCTTTGCAAGCTTTGGAGGCTAGTGGGGAGAAGGAGAAGCGTTGCTTGTACCTTGCTGGGTTGGGTGAGCACGCCAGTGCGAGTGTTGGTTCGCGGGTCCCAGATGCCAACGGTAGAGTCCCAGCTGCCCGAAAGGAGCATGCCTATGCCCCCAAGAAGCGCCGAAGGTCAGATCCAGAACTTATCGCCGAGCTGAGGACGCAAAGGGTCAGAATGCAAAATCACGGAATACATGCCAGATTCCGCATGATAGTTGACACAGCGCACTCCGCTTTCATGAGCCCCGACCGTGCGTGCTTGACCGGTGGTCAGGTCCAGCCTGATGGGTGACCACGAGAGATATGTGAGCAGGCAGGCACGGGCAAGCAAAGAAAGGATTGACATGTCAGGCCTCACGTTTGAACGGTCTTGTCCACACTGCCACTGTCAATACCGAGGCAGAATGACCGAGGACGGCGACCAAGGGCAAAGACATCGAGAGGTGAGCGAGGCTTTCAAAGTCAAGCCGTGCAGGTTTCTGCGACGGGTGCCAAAATTTGTGGGTATGGTACAAACCAAACGGCGCTGTTGTTGCCAGCAAAGGCAACATCGAGGACTGGTGCAGCCAGGTTGAAGCGATGGCGCATGGCATTGGCATCAGTGTCGTACAGTCGCACCGTCTACACGCACGGGGAGGACAGTTGAATCGAGCAACCAAAAAAAAAAAAAAAAAAGCAAAAAAAAAAAAAAAAGCAAAAAAAAAAGCAAAAAAAAAGAAAATGGGGTGGGCCACTGACAATGGGAGGGGGGCGCCCGTCACTGCGAGCGAGTGGACATGAACTCTTACCTTATCCCAAGATGAGGCCAAGAGGTCATTGGACGCGGGCGCAAAAGCCACGCGAGTGATGCCATCCTGTGGCGGGCTGGCGAGCTCCACCTTGTCCATGGTTGTGGTACCGCAGCTTTGACGCTGGCAATCAAAAGGCAGAGTGACAGCAAAGAGGAGGGCAAGGAGGAAGGTGGAAGAGGAAGACGAAGAGGCAGGGAGGCGGCGGAGGTGGCGGCACAGGCAGAGGCGGGAACGACCAAGTCTCGCCTCTCTCTAAAAAAAAAATTGAAAATTGAGCGAGCGAAATTCAGAGAGAGTGAGCGGGGGAGCAGACGGAACGTCGCCCACAAAGGGGAAAAGCAAGCTAAAGCAGAGATACGAACCGCCGACGTTGGACGCAACGGTCATCTGATTGCCCTGCGAAGCCAGTGATCATATAATATATGTCAGAAAAAGACAAGCAAGCAAGTCTGGAGTTATTGAAGAGATATAGAAGGATATTGCTGTAAAGCTGGATATTCAATAACATCATAACGTGATTCAATATTGAGTACATGTTGATAAAAGTACGATTCACGTAGAAAGGAGTCCTTGCTGGTATCACCCTCTGCTCCAAAAAAAAACAACAACTCAATTTTGAGAGAGAGAGAGAGAGAGAGAGAGAGAGAGAGAGAGAGAGAGAGAGAGAGAGAGAGAGAGAGAGAGAGAGAGAGAGAGAGAGAGAGTTCGAGGCGTTCAACTGGCAGCTGGCTGGCTAGTTCGGTGGAGTGCAAACGGTCGTGCCCTGGCTTGATCCTCGTCAACAGGTGCGGACGCCCCGTTGGTTTGCTTGGCGCATCTGCTCGTCTGCGCGTCTGCTCGCATTTCTCGTCTCCCTCTCTTTTTTTTTTTGGCGATGCTTTGTGATGCAAAGTGCAATGATGCAGGCCATCGGCTCATGTGCGTCAGCCATCCATAGGTGTCGCATTTCACTGCGTTGAGCACGGACTGGTCGGGGGAAAGTTGACCAGACCATTGCTCGGCTCTTGCCGTGTTTGCATGAGGAGGGGCGCGCTCGGCCCGGTCCGCGTCAGAGGTCTGTCATCGCCTGCTGCATCGAATGTGCCTGATCGGCATCTTCTCTCCCTGGACTTGGCGCCAACGCCTGTTGTATGGCGCAGTGACTTGACCCACTGCTTCTGTCTCGGCTTTTCATGCGCGCAGGGGACACGGGCAGGCACTTTTGGCTTCCACCTTTCGGTTGGTGCTGCGCCGGCAACGCTTTGCACGCAGGCTGCCATGTGTCAACGATTACGGCCATGGCCCAACGCCGCCGCCATGGTGGCTGTGCTGGCGGTTGCTCTTCTGCTTGTATTACCAACGCCAGCTGGTGCCCATCGGGCTCTTCATCGCCGCTCTCGATACGTGCGAGAGCAAGATCGGCATTTGCCCCATCAAATCAGCTGGCCCCACAGTCACGCGCACATGGCGGCAGCCGCGCGCTTGGCTGCTGCTGCACCCACGAATCATCACTCCATGCCATCCCAGGAAGCACCTGTTCCTGTTCGCGCACGTCGGGACGAGGGTTGCCAGCTCATTGGCTGCAACTTTTTCACGGCCAACAACGGTACCAACATTACCTGTTATGCCGCCTATATGCAACTCGAGGTCATTGAAGAGGACTCGCGGTGCGCCAGCCTCCTCAACACGCTCAAGGTTGATGGTGCCGCCTTCCATATTGAAATGCCAGCCGACTCATGCGGCATCAACCTGGCAGCCATTCCCGTCATTGCTCGCTACGCGAAAACGCTGACCGTCTTCTCTCGTGGCTCTTGCTGCACATCAAAATTCAACGCCAGCCTTGCTTTTCCTCGGCTCACTTCCCTCCGCCTCAACTGCACCCTCAGCTATGCGCGCCTCAATGCAGGCTTGCTCACCGCCATGCCTCTCCTGAACAGCCTCGATGCAAGCAGCGCAGGCCTTTCAGCGCTTGGCGTCGCTGACCTGGCTGGACTCACCCAGCTTGCCCATCTCAACCTCAGCTACAACACGCTCACCCAGCTCGAAACTGGCACCTTTGACAGAATGACCGGCCTCACCACCCTCGACCTCGCCGCCAACGCCATCATCACCCTGCCTAGCAACGTCTTTGCCGCGCTCACCAACCTTGTCACGCTCAACCTGGCCGACAATTATGTCACGGAACTTCAGGCAGGCCTCTTTGTCAACACCATCAACCTTACCTCGTTGGATCTGACCAACAATCATCTCGGAACCATGAGCGCCGACGCCTTGGGGCCGCTGACCTCCCTTGTCGAGCTTGTCTTGGATCAGAACAACCTCGGTCATCTCGAGCGCGACGTCTTCGAGGGGCTCGTCAATCTCGAAGTCTTGATTCTCGATGACAACGACCTCACTGGCATCAATGCCACCAATTTTATCAACCTCACCAGCCTTATGGTGCTCAGCTTCTCAGTCAACGACATTGCTTACGTCGAGGCGGGTGCCTTTGACACTCTGCCCAACCTAGAGCAACTGGCCATGGAGGACAACCTCCTGACCGTTTTGCCCAAGGATCTCTTCCACTACAACCCGCAACTGCAGTATCTATCCTTGTTTGACAGCTACATTGCCGAGTTGGACGAAGGCATCTTCCACGGCCTCACGCTGCTCAACACAATCATCTTGGCTGGCAACAATCTCGATGGTCTTCCAGAAGACATTTTTCAACCGTGCACCATGCTCGAAGTGGCTGCTCTCTCCTACAACAGCATCGACGAGCTCGAGCCGGGCCTTTTCTCAGGCCTTTCCTCCATCCTGTACGTGGATGTTGAGTCGAATGATATTGCCACCATCGATGCAGGGTTGCTGTCTGATCTTAGCTACCTCGTCACCTTGCGCTTGGGTGAGATGCAACTCGCCTCCTTACCCAACGACGTTTTCGCCCATCTCTCGGCGTTACAATCCCTCGATCTTGGCAACAACCGACTTCATTCGGTAGGTCTGCGCATGTCAATGGCAAAGTAGCCTGGGCGTTTGAGTGTTTGTACGCGTGTTCGTCGGAGGCATGATTTTGGGGCACGTCAAACGCTTGTACCTCGTGAGCCTGTCAGGGAGCAGTGTGCTCTCGCATCTCCTCTCATCTTGCTCATGTTTGTCTGCCTTTTGCCAGGTCGAGTCTTCCATGATGAGTCACATGCGCCAACTTGTGTCGCTAGACCTATCGGGCAATGAGCTCAAGGAGCTACCATCGTCCCTGTTTGCGAGCCTGACCCGCCTTGAGTCACTTGAGTTGCAAGGCAACAAGATTGAGAAAAAAAGGGCCCTCGATCTGGACCTCAGTCGCTTTCCTCACCTGCAGACCATCATGGTGCAAGGGGTGCCCTTGAGCGCCACTATGCTCAAGCAGCTGAGAACAGGCACGCTGAGCGGCTTGTTGCGCGTGACCGTCGGGGGTCAATGGCTTTGTGCAGACTCGGAGAACACCGTCCTCTCCTTTGAACTTACCAATGGGGCCGCGCAGCTGGTGAGCATCTCCGACAGCCTCTGCACCAACATTACTGTGGTGGTTGATGCGCCCGAGTTGACGCTGCGCGTGTACGGCCATTCCAAATTGGAGGAGCTACGCATCGAAAAGGCTGAGCGCATCAACTTTTTGGATGTCTCAGACAACCCCCTGCTGGTCAAGTTGGATCCCATCACCTGCGAGTCAGCCGACGTGAGCCGGAGCGGGTTAGCGTTTTCCTCCACCTTTTGTTCCGTGGTCGGCAAACGGCGCTTTATCGCGCAAGAGATGAAGTCTCCCGCATTCGGTTCGGACACGGAGTACCTGATGCAGCTGTGCTTTCCCAACCTCGAGGTCGTCGACCTTTCGGGCAACGACTTTATGAACGACTTGGACATGCTCAATGGATCCATTGGCCAGCCCTTTGTGGTGGACTACGGCTCGGCTGTTGCACTGGTGGAAAACTCAAAGCAGGTCAAGTTGGCCAATCCACCTCACGTGCCTTCCATGTCGCTGGGTGGTTTGCCAGTACGGTGTACCATTGTTGTCAAGTCGCAGCTGGTGGTCATCATGCCCGATGGCGACTCGGAGCGACTCGCCGTGGTCTATCGCTACAACTGCGAGTGCATCCCGGGCTATCACAAGCATGGCGATGCGTGTGTGCAAACCATTGCCTTCTTGGAGCACGGGTGGGCCATTGTGCTGCTCGTGGTGGTGGGTGTGGTGGTAGGGGTGGGCGGTGTGGTGGTGGTGCGCCGCTACCTGTCGCGCTACCGCTCCGTCCAGGCCGATCTGGAGCTGAAGGAGCACTTGTTGGCGCACGCCGAGGCCGAGGTGGATGAATTGAAAAAGGCGTGGGAGATTGGCGCAGAGGAGCTGGCCTTTCACGATCGCTTAGACAAGGATAGCCCCGGCGCCAACTCGGAGGTGTGGCGGGCGGGATGGGACCACATGACTGTGGCGGTGAAAATTCTGCGGAGCGCGATGTTACGTGACCACATCTCATTGCAAGACTTTTCCAAGGAGGTGGAGTTTTTGCAGCGCACGCGACATCCCAACTTGGTGCGGTTCTTTGGTGCTGGCACCATGCCTGACGGAAGCCCCTTTTTGGTGCTGGAGATGGTGGAGCTGGGCTCTCTGGTCTCAATCCTCCACTCGCACGCGCGGTTGAGTTCAGGGCCGGCCTTTGATTTGGAGACCAAGATTGCGATTCTGACGGATATTGCGCGGGGCATGAGCTTCATTCACGCACTCGGTCACCTTCACCGGGACCTCAAGTCGGGCAATGTACTGGTCACAGCGCACCCGCACCGAGCCAAGGTGGCTGATTATGGCACGGTGGTGTTTTCCTCAGCGGCGCTCAATGCGCCGGAGAAGGGTCTGGATGAAGCCCCCGGCAGCCTGACGCTGACGGCGGGTGTGGGCACGCCGCTGTATTCTGCGCCGGAGCTATTACGGGGTGGCTCGTACGGCCAACCGATTGATGTCTACTCTTTTGGCTGCATCATCTTTGAGCTGCTATTTGAGACGTCCCCAGACTTGCTGGACCTGTATGAAATTCCGCCGCGCGGTCCTTTTTACACGCAGCTATTAAAGGTGGTTCAGGAGGGATACGTGCTACCGTTTGAGGGTAGTCGGCGCCCACCTTTACTACACGAGCGACTAGATGGTTGGATCGTGCGCCTGGCCAAGGCATGCTTGCGCACCGAACCCGAGGCACGGCCGACATTTGAGACAGTCTTCCGTGTGCTGAATAACCACGGTGCCACGGCCGCGCTGGGCATCACGGAGGCCGGGGTTACGACAGAGGAGGAGGAGCAGAGCGCGGCCGATGACTACTTTGAGCTACGCATGGATGGCGAAACCACCGATACGGCCCTGTAGACATGGTTGGCGCGTGTCTTTTGCTTGGACTCTTTGGGGGCAGCGTGCAGACACCTCGATGCTATACCCCTCCTTTTTGCGGTTCACTTCCTTTTTTTTTTTTTGTTTCATCTCCTGTCAACATACAGACAGTCATAATAATCTTAATTCGCTTGTTCTGACCTAGCAATGCACCCTTGCTTCCACGGGCCACGTCAATGTCTTGTGTCGTCGTTTGCAAAGGCAATCCTTTCTTCCGTTCCTTCCAATTTTTCACCAAATACGGCATAGCTAATAGAGTCTTCTACTGTACTTCCCTGGCCCCCGTCATCGAGCATGCCTCTGGTCCAGCAGCCACCGCGCTGTCGGCACAAACCGCCCATATCTATCTTCTATTAAGAATAGCTGACATTTAAATCTGACATCGTGCGTGCGGGCGGTGTGTGTCACGTGGTAGCAGGGCCTTTTCTTTTATTGGCGTGTGTGTGTTGAGTCTGACACGCTACCCGCGTGTGTTCCTTCTCTCAGGGGGCTTGCCCCTTTGCCCCTTTGCCCCTTTCTTGTGTAGATCAAAGGGGAAAGTGGTGTGAGGATTGCAGACATCCACACACGTTCGTCCCTCTGTGGATGTCGCCCCATTTCTTCCCAATCTCTGTTTATGGTTTGTTTTCACGTGAAAGTGCACCACCACCCCCTCCATCTCTCTGGTTTCCACCTCGCCCCCGTCCCTCCCTCTGTCTCCTCGTCGTCTCTTTTGTTTGGTCGACGGCTGCCCTGCTTCCAACTCTCTGCTTTTGGCTGTATTTTTCTTACTTACACGTCGTGGGAGGAACCGTTGCCTCTCTCTCTGCTGCTGCTGTTGCTGCTGCTGGTGACTGCCGCTGCCGTTTTGCTGCGTCCTGTTGGACTTCCTTTTCCAATTGGGATAGCCGCCTCCTCAGGCCCCGGTCTGTTGCTTCGGCTCGTGGATTGACCGTCACAACGATCAACATTCCGTGCTACACCGCCATCTTGTCTTGTACGTACCATTCCCCCCCGCGCAAGCACCTTGTTCTGCCCTCCAGCTTCCCTCTCTCTCTCTCTTTCTCTCTCTGTCTCTCTCTCTCCGCGCGCGCGAGCTCGTTCTTGTGCGCTTGTTGTTTTTTCTCTTCCATCTCTGGCTTCTTCCTCTTCCCCTTTCCCTTTCCCTTCCTCCTCTTCCTCTTCCTCTTCCTTTTCCTCTGCACCCTCTGCCTTTTTAAAGAGACAAAGCGCTTTTTGAAGTCGTTCTCAAAGGACGCTTAGAGTGTTTTCTCTCCCTTTCTCTCTCTCTCTCTCTCTCTCTCTCTCTTTCTCTCTCTTTCTCTCTCTCTCTCTCTCTCTCTTCTTGACGCGCGGTCTCATTGTGCTCTCATGCTCATCCCGCGTGGTCAACCGTGATGTTTGATATGGGTTAGCTCGGCTCGAAAGGACCGTCTTGTCCGGAGCCAACAGCGACCGATGCTGCTGGTCGCCTCGGAACCGTATAAAAGAAAAACCGGCCTTATCGTCCGGTCTTTTAATACCTAAGAGCTAGCAGCCGTCAACCACCATCAAGTGTTGGCTCTTTGTGAGTTTGCTTTTCTGAATTCTTTTCCACACGGTCTCGGCAGTCGAGCTCTTTGTTTCCTGCCCCCAACATCACCGGCACCATGTCTCTCAACGTCAATCGGTGCGTTTCCCCGTCTGGTCATAAATATCTTGAGTGCCCAACTCGCAACATGCTTGCCCCCCCACACGCCAAGGCGCCTTCTTGTGTCGTCGTCTTCCTGCTTGCTTACCCTTGCCTCCCCTCCTTGCAGCAAGGTCGAGGACCCTTTTTACCGCTACAAGATGCCCAAACTCGAGGCCAAGGTCGAGGGCAGTGGCAACGGCATCAAGACCGTCATTCCCAACATGGTCGACATTGCCCGCGCCCTGGACCGCCCCCCAACTTATGTCACCAAGTACTTTGGCTGTGAGCTCGGCGCTCAGGTCCAAATGGACGACAAGACGGAGCGCTACATCGTCAACGGCTCGCGCACCCAGGAAGACCTGCAAAACCACCTCGATGGCTTTATCGAGAAGTTTGTCCTGTGCTCCATCTGCGAGAACCCTGAAACCAAGCTCATTGTGCACCAGAAGCGCAAAGAGATTGAGCAGCGCTGCGGTGCCTGCGGCGCTACTGGCTTTCTCAAGTTCAACCACCGCCTGATCCAGTACATCATCAATCACCCGCCTGAGGGCGTCGGCAAGGGCGGCAAGGGCAGCAAGAAGGGCGCGAAGAAGAACAAGGGTCGTGGCTCCGACTCGGACTCGCAAGGCAGCGGCAACGTCAGCCAAAAGATTGGTACCATTGAAGCGCCTGATGTCATGGCTGATGATGACGACGATGACGTCGACTGGTCCGTTGACACGAGTGCCGAGGCTGTCCGCGCCCGTGAGCAAGCTCAGCTCTCGGGTGCCGTCACCAAGCTGGTCCAGGCCGAAGATCAGGATCTTCCCCTGCCCGAGCGCCTCGAGATCTTCTTCAAGTTTTTGAAGGAGAAGGCGAGCGAGGACAAGTTTCCGGCCCGCGAGGTGCTGCAAAAGGCCGAGCTCCTTGATTGCAAGGAAAAGGGTATCATGGCGCTCACCGAGGTTCTTCTTGATCGCGAAGACTTGGTCAACGTCCTCAAGACCCACCAAGCTCTGCTCCAACGCTTTGCTGATGAGAATCCTCGTGCGCAAAAGTACCTCTTGCATTCCATGGAGATTGTCATTGAGCACCACCCCGCCTTGCTCAAGAAGGTGCCCACCATCTTTAACGCCCTCTATGACCTCGACATTGTCGAGGAGGAGGGTTTCCTCAACTGGGATGAGAAGGTGTCCAAGAAGTACGTGTCCAAGGAACTGAGCCAGCAGATTCACGACAACGCCAAGCCTTTTATGGAGTGGCTCAAGACGGCCGATGACGAAGACTCGGATGAGGACGAAGAAGTCGAGGAGGTTGATGGTATCGCCTTTGATTCCACCGCCAATGGCGTCACCGTCGAGGAGAAGAAGCCTGAGGCAGCTGCTGGTGCCGCCGAAGACGACGCCGAGGAAGAGGAAGAAGACGATCTGGACATTGATGACATCTAGGCGTTGTCAGTCTCTCTTCCATTTGTGGCCTCTCCCGGCTCATCTCTCTGTTCCACGCGCGCAAGCCAAACATAACCAAAAAAAAAAAATGAATAAAAAATCAAACAAGACCGACAACATCTTTGGCATGTGCTTCTTCGCGCGTCGTGTGTTCGCCCAGCTGCGTGGTTTCTTTGCTTGTATGCGTTCTTTGTTCTCTTTGCTCTGGGTCGCACATCCTGCTCATGGGTTTGTGGTGGCCCAAGTCTTCATCGGTCTTTGGTGCAACGGTCCGCACACGTGTCATGACGTCGACTGAATTGAAGCAATTTCCGTCTGTCTCAGCGAAGCCGTTGTCGTAATCGTCCAATCTCAATTATTATCTTGACCTTTTTCCCTAAAACACACAGCTGGGGCCTAACATCGGATAGCTGCTGATTTTCATGGCAGAGTCGGCAAGCACATGCGATGGATAACGCCACCACCGGCAAACACCTCCACTGCACTTCGCACGTCGTCATGGGCGGCCGCCAAGCCACAAACCTGACACACAGCATGCCCCACCATGCAGGGCAAGCCGACGTGGCAGCCCCCATCCTCAAGCGTAGGTGGGGTCAAAACGGATGACTCATTGGGCGATGTGCTCGATCCTTCAAACGCAGCCAGCAGAGCAGGGGGTGCTGTGACGGGGCGCAGGTTCCACAGGTATGTGTCCACGGCAGCAGCCAAGTCTGCTTGCGACGGCTTCAGGGCAGCAGCCGAAGGTGCAGCTTGCCACGTGTAGAGCAAATGCCGCATGGCCGCATCTTGTGCCGCAGGTAAGCCAGTGCACGTCGAGTCTTGCAAAACGAGGCCCAGAAGACGTGTCGCACGCTTCAAGCCCAAAACCCATCGGGCCTGGCGCTCCAGCCACGGCCAATGTACGGATTGCTCCCGCAGCACCTGGCTCAGCACGTGTTGCCACTCCTGATCGCTCCACGTGCCCGTCAATAGCCACGATGGCTCCTCAAGTCCCACGGTAAGCTGTAGTCGTAAACACGAATCCTCAATCAAAGGGACGGCCCAAGCCCAGCAGCCATGGCGGATCAGCACGCGCAGCATGCGTGCTTGGACTGCCTGGGATAAATTGGCGTAAGCATCTCGGATAAGGTCGAAGGTTGGCCCAAAGGTCCATGCTAACCGGTGACTCCCGGCCACTGGTCTTGCTGCTGCCAATTCCTCCGCCAAGGCACTCGCGTCAGCACGGCCAGAGTCCCAATGTGAGCTATGGTCCGCCGCGGTAGGGGCTGCACACACATCGGCGAGAGCTGGATTCTGTGGGTGCGTAAAGGCGCGGCGCAAAAGGGTGGCCTCCAGATTGGGATCAGTCCATGCGTGCGGAAACCGCACGAGGACAGTCTGCCAATAGCGCCAAAGGAGCGCATCTCCGGCCGGGGTATTCTCGGGTGCTACCTGGGGTCCAAGGTCAGCATATGAGATTGCCGGATATTGCTCACACCATAAATCAATGCAAGCCTCGCGCTGGCCGTCGCTGGCCAGTAGCACAGCCAAAGCTTGAACCAGGGTGGTGCGTGTAACGTCTGCGGCAACCTCACGCAAGCGTTCCACGGCATTGCTCTGCAGCAGCAAGCCATTGACGAAGGCCTGCTCCTCGTGTCGCTGGTCACTGGTTTGCTCCCCCAGGAAAGCGTGTAGCAGTGCCCAATCGTAATCATTGGCCAAGGCGTACAACTCTTGAGGGTTGCAAAAGGCGGCCACGCGACGACAAGCAGCTACACACAGTGTCTCATTTGCCTGCCCATTATTGTAGGCATGCGCGCTGAGCGCCATGTGGAGCAGTTGCTGTCCTCCCAGCCAGTTGGAGCGGGCGCTCTGCAGGCGATGCAAAGCATCACCCAGCAGGTCCCCTGCTGCAAAGGTAAGCGCCACACGCTCCTCCTCAAAAGTCGTGAGAGCCTCGAGAAGGGCAGTCCAGTAGCGGCCCAGGCCTTCATATAATGCATCCGCCTCGAGCAATGTGTCTGCAAGCAGTACATCCACCGCTTGCGTATGGCGAGTGTTGAGGTCCTTGACGGCGCCCACGAACTTGGCCACCAAGCTCTCACGCTCCACAGCCTGTCGGTCGGCTTCTGCCTGCTCCTGCAGCACAACGTCACAATGATTTTTTTTTTTTTTTTTTTTTTTTTTTTGTTTGTGTGTTTGTTTGTTTGTGGGCAAAAGAGAATGAGAAGAGTTGAAATTCGACCTGGCTTGCGTGTTGAGTAACCATGCACAGCACCCCAAACTTTGTTGAACCCGCAGAACCCACCTGAGCCGCTCGCTCATCCATGGCTTTGATCGATGTGGTGCTTGCCTGGCGTGCCGGCTAGAGATAAAGCATATCACATCAACGCGGCCAACCAGACCAAGCATAATAGATCCCCTGACACATAAAGGCGAACCAAGCAAACCTTGACAGCAGAGCCTGAAGTATCGATGAGCTCGACTTGAGCTTTGGGGCGCCGTTTTTTGCGCTTTGTCTTGGTTTTCGTCTTCATTATCTGATGAGGTGAGCATGGTGCAGAAGATGAGTGGCTTGGTAAGGTCAGCATGCCTGTACGTAGCGAAGCAAAATTTTCCCAAGGCAAAAAAGCGCAAGGATGCCGCCCTATACTCTCTCTCTCTCTCTCTCTCCTCCCTCGCCCCC